ATCAAAAACAAACTTGAAACAACTCAAGTCCTGTAAGCCACAGAATGGGTGAGTAAACCGGTTGACAACACCCCCACACCACCACCCTCAGAAAGCAGCAGGTGCGCAACAGATTGAGGCAAAGAAAACACAAAATATAGGCCGGGCACGGTGGCTCAAGCCTGTAATCCCAGCACTTTGGGAGGCCGAGGCGGGTGGATCACGAGGTCAAGAGATCAAGACCATCCTGGTCGACATGGTGAAAACCCGTCTCTACTAAAAAAAAACACGCACACACACACACACACAAATTAGCTGGGCATGGTGGCGCGTGCCTGTAGTCCCAGCTACTCGGGAGGCAGAGGCAGGAGAATTACCTGAACCCAGGAGGCGGAGGTTGCGGTGAGCCGAGATCGCACCATTGCACTCCAGCCTGGGTGACAAGAGCGAAACTCCGTCTCAAAAAAAAAAAAACAAAGCAGCAGCTCAGAAAAACAGCCTGCTTCATGCACAGTGCACAAGTAACTCCATACTCAGTAACTGAAACACGCTCACAAGCTCAGGGATCACTGTCACTGTGACGAGGTGGCTCGCTCCCAAGTAGTAAGTAAGGAGAACCCCAGCAGCCAGGACATTTCATTCTGGGAGCTCCACACTCCTAACCGTCCCCCTCACAGGGCGAAAACTCTCCATCCTCCAGGGTCTCAATTCTCACCAGTGACCAGTCACCGGGATCAGTTTGAGGTTCTGACGTGTGATGTCCCTTCTTCTGACAGCAGATGTGTGGAGTTTGCTCAACACCAACCAATTCTCCAACACACCTGAATGTACAGCTCAATTCAGAACCACCGGGGTCAGAGCAGACTCCACGTTTGGGGCTCAGTCCCACAACACTGCCCCCACCACCGATGCTCATCCCAAGCCCCGGGGCCATCTATACTTCCAAGCAACTACCTATGAACTACAGATTCCATAACCCGCTCCTCAAGCTTAATAATTTGACAGAACTACTCACAGAACTCAGCAAATCACTTTATGTTTTCCAGTTTATTATAAAGGAATAGCCAAAGGGAAAAAATGCATAGCGCGAGCAAAGAGGCAGGGAAGGCAGGCTGGGCAGTAACCCTGGCAAACGGCTGTGATTAAAGAAATCCCCTATCATTTGCGAGTATCAAGAGCAGCTTACTGCAAAGAAACTTCCTTTTTATTGTGACCTAGATGATGCTTCCTTTTTTACCTCTCACAAAACGAGACACAAACTCTGCAAATTCTCATTTTTTTGCCTCTTAAACAATTAGATGAGCACTTTTCTCTTCAGTAGTCAGAACAAAATATCTGTTATTCAACTTTGCTTATGTTTCTCTCCTTCCCTCAGGCACCAGAACTCTGACCCACACTCAGCGTCAGCCAAGTTGTGACCCCTTTTTACACCTTTCCTAAGAACAGGGCCACTTCAAGGTGAAACAGTCTCTGATCCAGGATCTGATTTTGCCACCTCCATCCCGCTCTCTCCCTCCCAGCTCCTTTCTAATCATGTTTGCTCCTCCCTGTGAAAGAAAGCCCTTTTCTGCCCAACCTTTGAGACGCTTACAGATCTTATATTTGGTCCTTTCCTACTGCAATACTCCTTTAGAATAAAGTTACTTTTAACCTAAATTTCAAATTATTTGATAAATAATAATAATGTTGTAAACTGGAGGAGGGAAGTTGGAGTTTGAGTGAGGAAGGAAGTGGAAATTTAGAATTTTACTGCAATAGTCCCGGGACAATACCAATTACACCCTTAGAAAGGGCATCACAATCCTCCTCCTATCCCAAGACCAGCCCCATCAGCCTGTGGATCCTCAGCTCTCCAGGGCCTTACAGCTTCTGTTGGTAAAAAGGGCTCCTTTCATGGCTGGTGTGAGCAGGACAGGCTCCCCAGGAAGAACTAACAGGCTCTTCAATTGCCTCCTCCCACAGGCTCAATCAAGGTTGGCCTTAGCTCTAAGTCACTAAGCTCATGTTTCTGCTTTCCAGTCAAGGTTATTCATGTGTTTATTATTAAATCAATATTTATTATATTAATTATTTTAAAAGAATAATTATGAGCTGGGCACAGTGGCTCACTCCTATAATCCTAGCACTCTGGGAGGCAGAGGTGGGCAGATCACACGGTCAGGAGTTCGATCCCAGCCTGACCAACATGGTGAAACCCTGCCTCTACTAAAAATACAAAAATAAGCTGGGCGTGGTAGCAAGCACCTGCAATCCCAGCTACTCAGGAGGCTGAGGCAGGAGAATCACTTGAACCCAGGAAGCAGAGTTTGCATGAGTTAAGATCACGCCTCTAGACTCCAGCCTGGGTGACACAGCAAGACTCTGTCTCAAAAAAAACAAAAGGGCCGGTCGTGGTGGCTCACACCTGTAATCCAAGCACTTTGGAGGCCAACGCAAGGGGATCACCTGAGGTCGGGAGTTCAAGACCAGCCTGACCAACATGATGAAACCCTGTATTTAAAAAAAAAAAAAAGAGTGTCATTTAAAATAATTGGTATTATTTTATTACTATTGTTACTATTTTTTTTGAAGCAGAGTTTCACTCTTGTTGCTCAGGCTGGAGTGCAATGGCACAATCTCAGCTCACCACAACCTCTGCCACCTGGGTTCAAGCTATTCCCCTGCCTCAGCCTCTTGAGTAGCTGGGATGACAGGCACGCACCACCATGCCCAGCTAACTTTGTATTTTTAATAGAGACAGGGTTTCTCCATGTTAGTCAGGCTGGCCTTGAACTCTCGAACTCCCAAACTCAGGTGATCTGCCCGCCTCAGCCTCCCAAAGTGCTGGGATTACAGGTGTGAGTCACCACGCCCAGCCTATTACTATTATTATTGAGACAGGGTTTCACTATCACCTAAACTGGATTGCAGTGGTGCAATCACGGCTCACTGCAACCTCAACCTCCTGGACCCAAGCAATCCTCCCACCTCAGCCTTCCAAGTAGCTGGGACTACACGCATATGCCACCAAACCTGGCTTCTTTCCTACTTTTTGTAGAGATGGAATCTTGCTACGTTGTCTAGGCTGGTCTCAAACTCCTGGACTCAAGTGATCTCTGCTTCATCCTCCCAAAGCGGTAGGATTACAGGCATGAGCAACCACACCCAGCTCACGTTTTATTCATTTTATTTTATTGAGACAGAGTCTTTGTCACCCAGGCTGGAGTGCAGCAGTGTCACAATCTCACTGTATCCTCCACCTCCAGGGTTCTAGTGATTTTCCTGCTTCAGACTCCCAAGTAGCTGGGATTACAGGCGTGTACCTTTACACTGGGCTAATTTTTGTATTTTTAGTAGAGACGGGGTTTCACCATGTTGGCCAGGCTGGTCTCGAACTCCTGACAAGTGATCTGCCCACCTTGGCCTCCCAAAGTGCTGATTACAGGCATGACCCATGCGCCAGCTCCCACTTTTAAATGAAAAAATAATCAGCAAAATCACTCAAATTCAGTTTTTATGTTTATAGGATGGAATAAAATTGTAAGGCACTTACATTTCATACCTCAACACGAAAAGCAGAAGTATTCCTTTCATACAATAAACATGTTAATTATTTCCATAACAAATTATTTCATAAGGAAATTATCTCAAAATGCCAAGTCCCACCTATGGAATTTACCATTAAACTTGGACATCCAGGTAACAGGAAACAACAGAGTCATCCACTGTCACAAAATCTCCGCTCTGCCCAAAGGTGGAACTGATGTTTTAGGGAGTCTTTGTTATTCACTAATTTATCTACTATACTTTCTTGTGAAAATGTATTTTTCTGCACCCACAATGGAAGACAGTGTCCCTATTTTTCCCTAGTAGCATTCCCAAAGCTAAGCCCTGGAATTCGGGTTGAAACCACTCCCAGAAGAGAATCGACCTGTGAAACTTACTACACTTCCTCTGGGGAAGAAAAAAATGTAAGGATTTTTAACAAATGAAACAGTTATCTAATATTTTTCTGATATACACCTCTTTCTTACCCTTTTGAAAATATTTTCTTCTCTCTCAAGATGTACAGATAAAACATACTTTTCAATCAATGAAAAACTGAAGTTAAAATAAGTGAACAAATATTTTCAAGGTGACAAACACAGGAGTAGCAGTACTGGTGAACAGGGACACATCTGACTCAAGTGTCAAGTCAGGTCATCTAATCACCTAATCCTCCCACCCCACCCTGCTCGCTGAAGTACTCAATGCCCACTCTCCCCCAAACTGCAGTGTGTCCTCACTGTGCCCCAAATGCATTCTGCTTTTCAGGTTCCTGCCTCACTGTGGCGGGGCGGGGGTTCCCCCCACAGTGTACTTTTGAATAGCTGTTCTCCCTTCGCAAGGATGAGAGACTGCAGAGGGCAGAAATTCTTTCTTGCCTCATTGCCAGTATCTGATTGCCTGAGCAGCATTTTGTCTCTAAGGAGAGGCAACAGGGGTGAGAGAAAAGAAATCTAAGTTCCAACTGTAGCAGGACAAGCCACAGGTGAAACCTCCCGGACACCGGATTTAAAGAAGGAAGTGGGTTTATTCAGACGGCAGCATCAGACTTGCATCTCGAGAACCGAGCTCCCCAAAAAGGAAAGTTCTAGCCCTTTTAAAGGCTTACAGTTCTAGAAAGTACGTGAGAGGGTCACGATGGATGAAGTAGGCGCGGGTTAGGACAGGTGGGGGTTTGAGCAAGACTGAGTGAGAAGAACGAGGGCGATTCTCCACCTTATGCCTGCGATTTATAGAGGAGTGCGATTAAGGGTGGGGGGTTTAATCTCTAACCTCCAGGCCTCATCAGCGGCGCCAGCTGACCTCACGCCTACTAGGTCTCAACTTTCGTTTCCTCCTCCTTCGAGACAAGAGACAGGAAAGAGGGGTCTCTTCCTTCACAATGGGTTAGCTTTTTAGAGGAAGAGGACAGAAGCGTATACCAGGAGACTCCGCTCAGTCCCAGGGCATTCATCCATCCAGCTGCTCCTCTGAGAGGCTCCACCCCTAAACCTCACCTTGTCTTCTGGGGAAGAGGACCCAACGGCTGACAATCACTATTTATGACACTCCCAGAGACATGGCCAGTGTGGGCACATTATGTCATCCTCAAACAGTTTTGAAGCCAGGATTCAGAAAATGCAGGAGGGTGTCTGAGGACACATCACCATGTAAAGGTTCCAAAGGGAAACCTCCATTCAAAGGCTTTCGGCAAAAGTGTGTGAGCCTGGGGAAGACAAAAGGAGAGGCAAAGTTTCTATAGTGGACGAGGTCAGATGATTATTCTCTGCTTTCCTCTCAGGTGAAATGTTCAGCTCCTCAGTGCTCAACGAAAACACGATAAACAATTAAAATACTGCATCTGTTTCAAATGTACAATAAAGACCAAATAGTTAATCATGTAAATTAGAGAGGGGAGGTCGGGGTGTGAGAGTGTGAGGAAGAAACTGGAAATTTGGAATTTTACTCAAGTTTTAGAAGAGAGGCTGGGGAGACAGGTCATGGATTTGAGACCCTGCTTGCCATCCATCTGGAAACCTGCGGAAATCACGAAACAGGAAGACATTAGAGGAAGCGACGTCGTGCAGAGCTCCTCACCAAGGAAACCTAAATGTACGTCCTGCCTTTCTTGTAAAGTAATAACTTGAACGCAAAGAAAGCTTGACCCCAAATCAGCAATTTACCTCTGATTACATAACCGGGAACCAACCACCTAAATAGTCCGAATAACAGAACTACACAATTAAAACTCATCAAGTATTAAATTGGGGTTGCTGTGGGCTGGGCGGGGTAATCCCAGCACATTGTGGGGCTGAGGCGGGAGCCTAAGACCAGGAGTTCAAGACCAGCCTGGGCAACATAAGGAGACTCCCCCTGCCCCCCATCACTAAAAGAAAAAATAAATGTGGTTTGCTTCCTTTGTAAAAGCCTTTCCATCAAGCCCGTCCGGTGGCCCACAAACCAAAAACCAAAAACCGTGGCTGGGTGCTCCCCCACTCACGAATCGCTGTTTGCGCGAACTGGAGCGCTTTAATGAAACCTGAGTTTAACAGGATTAAAGAGGGGCTGGAAGCGGCAGTGGCTACGGCGCCTCCTCTCCCCTGAGGACCCTCGGGTCTCACTGCAGGACCCCGGGGAGCCTCGGGGAGGCGGGCACCGGGCTGGGGAGGGCGGGGCTCGAGCAGGGCGGAAGTCGCCCGCAGACCCGGGACGGGAGCCCGGGGTGCCCCTGCCCGCCCATCCCTGCCCTGTGCCGCAGGGGAGCGAGGGCCGCGCCGCGTCGGCAGAAACCGGGTCCGCCCTCGGGAGCCGACGCGGGGAGCCCGGGTCCCGGCCGCCACAGCCCCCGCCCCTTCTCCAGACCCCCGGCGGCGCGACTCACCATTTCCCGGCTTCCGGGGCGTCTCCCAGCACAGGCAGGTCACAGGAGGCCCCGGGCTGCGACCGAGCCTCCTGCACCCGCGGGAGCTAAGGCGAAGGGCAGCGGCGACTGGCCGACCCACGCACGTGCGGACACTAGAGACAAAGGCCCGGCACACCCGCAAGCCGCCTCCGCTTTTCTGGCCGAGCGCCTGATTGGGCAGTCCCCGCCCCGCTCCTCCTGATTGGATAGGGCTTCCTGCCCCGCCCCCTCATGCCCTCAGTGACAGGTGACACGCTCCCACGCGTGTCTGTATGAGGCAGCTTTTTGGCTCCAGCTCTTCTCTGGGAGGGCTTCCTCTCCGGTTGGGACCTAGCCTGGCCTAGGGGACATTCATTTATATACTCTTTTCCTTCCTTCCTTCCTTCCTTCCTTCCTTCCTTCCTTCCTTCCTTCCTTCCCTCCCTCCCTCCCCCCTCCCTCCCTTCCTTCCTTCCTCCCTTCCTTTCTTTCTTCCTTAGATGGGGTTTCACCATGTTGGCCAGGCTGGTCTTGAACTCCTGACCTCAGGTGATCCACCCACCTCGGCCTCCCAAAGTGCCAGGATTACAGGCGTGTGCCACCACGCCCGGCTCATTTATATACTCTTAACCTTGCATGTTACCTTGCATTCCTTTGTGAATAATATATATGATATTTAAAATAGGAAACAATATAATAATTCCTTTAAAATTTCAGACTTATTACCTTTCATGGCCTCTGGTCTTCTGGGGAAGCAGTCTGAGCAGGCTGAGGTTTGAAAAGGGAAGCAAGCCTCTAAGGCAGCAACTTCCATAGAAATCACCTGCAAGCCACAGGTGTCATTTAAAAATTTCTAGCAGCAACAGAAAAGAGAAGTAAACAGATAAAATTGATAATAATAAATTAACTGGGCCCGGTGCGGTGGCTCACGCCTATAATTCCAGCACTTTGGGAGGCCGAGGCAGGTGGATCACGAGGTCAAGAGATCGAGACCATCCTGGTCAACATGGTGAAACCCCGTCTCTACTAAAAATACAAAAATTATCTGGGCATGGTGGCGCACGCCTGTAGTCCCAGCTACTGGGGAGGCTGAGGCAGAAGAATTGCCTGAACCCAGGAGGCGGAGGTTGTGGTGAGCTGAGATCGTGCCATTGCACTCCAGCCTGGGTAACAAGAGTGAAACTCCATCTCAAAAAATAATAATAATAATAATAATAATAATAAAAAATTAACTCAATATATCAAAAATACTATGATTTAAATATATGACCAATATATTATTAATGTAGGATTTTCGTTCTTTGTTTTTTGGTACTAAATCTTTCAAAGTCACTGTTTTAAACTTCCAGCACATACAAATTCAGACCAGCCACATTCTAGATGCTAAGTAGATCCCTGTGGGCAATGGCTCTCATGCTGAAGTGCAGTTTTGAGGGCTCTGACTCCCCTGACCTCAGGGACGTGAAGGGCCCGAACCCCTCTTTACTGCTAGAGGTGAGGGAATGCCCTCTTTCTGCCAACATCTCTCCTTGGACCCAAGTGTGGCAGAGACGGTGCCCAGAGAGAGAAGTGGGCTGCAATAAAGAAGTATCTAAGAGGCCAGGCGTGGTGGCTCACATCTGTAATCCCAGCACTTTGGGAGGCCGAGGCAGGTGGATCACCTGAGATCAGGAGTTCAAGACCAGCCTGACCAATATGATGAAACCCCTTCTCTACTAAAAACACAAAAATTAGCCAGGCGTGGTGGCATGCACCTGTAATCCCAGCTACTCGGGAGGCTGAGAGAGGAAAATCGCTTGAACCTGGGAGGCATAGTTTACAGTGAGCCAAGATCACACCACTGCACTCCAACCTGGGCAACAAGTGCAAAACTCCATCTCAAAAAAAAAAAAAGTATCTAGAGGGAGTCTACTGTGTCCCACCTGCTCTTGCCAGGGGCCCAGGCTTTTTTAAAGATAAGACAGTGGAAAAAAGATGAGGGGCCCCAGGAGTGGAAAACCCACGTCTTCAGATTTGTCCACAACCTTAACCTCAGAGTTTAGATGTGGACGGAATACTTTAAAGACAAACTTTTCATTTTGCGATTTGACTTCGGCCCTAAGGGTCAGGCTGTGTTTTCTGTTTTCTCCTGTGGTGTGGAATTGAAGTCTGTGAGATTAAGCAACAATCACACGCATGCACGTCCACATGCACTTCTGTGTAGCTAAACACCATCTAACCAGAGATCCAACTTTACATAAAGGGAAAAGGAAATCGGTACATAGAGGGCGCCTTCTGTCTGGTAACTTGTAATCAGCATGTCATTGAATCCCAGCATCCTGTCTGCACTAGGTGTATGTATTAGCTATTGCTTCACAGTAAAACTCCCAAAACTTATTAGATTGAGCTGGTCCACCTTTTAGGCTGTGCTCAGATGAACCGTTCTTTTGGTGTCAGCGGCCCTTTCAGGCATGTGTGGTCAGTTTCTGACTGACTAGGTAACACTGCTTCTGAGGGCGAGCTGCCTGTCGACTGGAGCTTCGGTTTTCCCCCTGGTAATATCTCATCCTCTAGCAGGCTCACATGGACCTGTTATCATGGAGATGCCAGGGTTCCGAAATAAAACGCAGAAGCACTGACGAGCTCCTGTGCCTAAGATCCAAACTGGCACACAGTCATGTTCACAGCTTTCTATTCGCCAGAGCAACTAAGGCCAATGAGATTCAACGTTTGGGAAACAGATTCTGCCTCTCAATGAAAGCAGCTATAAAAGCACATCACAAAGGGCATAAAATGAATTGCTGTCATTTTTGCAATCAGTATTATACCTTTTCTTGCAGATGACGTTTATATAACCTTCCAAGACAAGAAACTTGTCCAAAGTCCCACAGCTACTACAAGGCTGGGCTGAGACTCAGGATTAACTTATCCTGACTCCAAAGCTCATGCACCTCTGTAAACCACATGAATCGAGCAGCTTCTCCAAACCTGTGAAGTCCTGGAAAGTAACTCTTCTGCAATAGAAGCAAGACTCCTGTGAGATTCCGATCCAGCCCATTCTCTTCACAGTTTGGAACAGCTGACTCCAGAGAACGCTTCTGAAGCATCTTGGAAGAACTTGGGATCATTTGAGGAAATGGGCGATTTCCTAATTTAGGAAAGCAGTGCTCAATGTTATATATATTTTATTTCTTTTCACGGGATAAGTTTAAAAGCATATATGATGCACTCCATATGAAAGCAAATTCTATTCATCCCTTTTTGTTATTTGTAGACTATTTATGACTTTCAACAAAGACTAAATCAAACTACTTCGTCTGAAATAACCTCTTACTCTGAAAGCAAGTAACATAAAAATGGACTTGCTGAGAAAAAATTCTTTCTGCTGCGATTTAGCCAAACAGCTGAATACAATTTGCAACCATCCTTTGGTTTTTTTTAACAAGGCAAAGTTGTTTTCCAAGATCTCAAATAGATCATGTGAGTGTCAATGCTACTGTATTGTCTCAGAAGGTGGACCAGATCCTAGGTCTGGAGATGGACTGGTGAGAGGGCCTGCACCAGCAGGTGAAGACCACAGGCCCATCGGTGAGACCCATTCATCAGGTGTGGTGTTTTGAGGTCCTGATGCTTATGACAAAAGTTATGCGTATTCTACTAAAAGTAAATTGCAGAACATTACAAATAATCCTACATGAACCAAAAATGTCAACAACTACAATTATTGTTAGTCGTCGTTATTCTAAGTATTTTTACCACATTTAGAAGTAGTAGCTGTTGTTGTTGCTGCTGCTTCTGCTGTTGTAGGAATGGTGATGAAAACGTGGAATGAAGCTCTGCTGCCCGCTCATGCCGCTGTTCCGACGGCTGCAGATTTGCTAGTTCTGAGCAGACTTTAGAGCTCTGTTGTGAAGCTATAACTCAAGAGACGTTCAGTGCTGTGCCAGTGGCAGAAACAAAGTTTGAGTCAAGACAGAAAAACAATTCTATGAATTTGAAGGTGGAGAGGAGGATGTTTCTGGGGTGCAGTTGAAGGGGAAGAAGCACACATCCCTTAATGAACGGATGGAAGCCGATGGTGAATGGCAGGGTTTGGCCATGAAGTCAATCAGATTTGGATTTTACGGCTGGTCACTCAATGAAACTGACACACCTGCAAAGCTGGAAATGGAGAACAAATAAGTGTGTTCCAGCAGCAGACAGGAGTGTCTTCTGAAAACACACCTGCTGCCTTACCCAGAACTCCTCCCTCCAGCTCCAGCAGACACTCTCGTGTAGAAAACCACGATGTGACTTCACCACGTTCTGGCTGGTACGGTATCTTTTTCTCCATTCTTTTATTTTCCCCTTCCCCATTCCATTATTGCACGTAAAAATCTGGGGTAGGCACACAAGCATATTGCTGTTTTTGCTAAATGACATGTGCTGTTGAGCATCCATATGAGCTGGGGCAGAATAATACTGGTCCTGTGAAGACTCCACCAGTGGCCACCACTCAGCTCTTAGCTCTGTATTTCAGGACTTAAACAACAGTAACAAAAAACCATGATGCCCTTGCATGGATTGTTTAATGAGTTCATTTTAATGTTTTTTAATATAGAATTGTAAAAGCAAAACAATTTCATAACTTTTCTTCTACATAGTTGTTACAAATAGGGCAAATCTGTTCATACATAGGACTAAATGACACTTGAAAGAAAAGAATGAATCTAAAATACTTTTCCCTTCAAATCCAGTGTCTGATTGTTTAAATATGCATCTTATGTAAAATGAATATATATATATATATATATATATATGCAAAGTTTAACTCACCACCCAGTGTATCCGTTGGACCAAAATGAGGAAAAAGAGGCATCTGTCTGCAGAAAGTTCTAAATTCTCCTGGGAGCCCCAGACCACTTGTACCTCCCAAGGGGACCCTGTCCTTGACCTGTTGCCACTGGCAGTGCATCCTGGTGAGGTTTCCAAGTCTTGATCCAGGAGGCACAGGGAGGGCAGAAGGTCATCTGTCTCAGCCAGGCCAGCATCCCTGACCCAGGGCCCTCTGAAAGAAGATTCCCACCGTCTCCTTCAGCTGCCAGAAGGGTGATGCCATTCTAGAGAAGTTATCAATGTTCTTGGGGGTTGATCCATAGATAAGCTGGGCACCCCTGTGCTCGTGCGAGCTGGAGCAGGCAGGAGCCCCCGCCTCCTGGGCGCGGCTGTCACAGCTGCAGACCCATGCATCTCT